TAAGAATCTTTTATGGTTTGCTTCCTTCTCTGTTTTTATCTTATTCTTCCTTCCCTTCCCCTATGTTCATCTGTTAAGTTTCTAAAATTCCACATATGAGTGAAATCATATGATATCTGCCTTTATCTGACTGACTCATTTCACTTCACATAATACCTTCCAGTTTCATCCATGTTGTTGCAAGATTTCCTTCTTTTCCATCACCAAGTAGTATTTCATTGTGTGAGAGATATATATATATATAGATATATAGATATATAGATATATATATCCCATCTTCTTAATCCATTCATCAGTTGATGGACATTTGGTCTCTCCTTAATTTGGCTATTGTTGATAGCACTGCTATAAACATGGGAGTGCGTGTGCCCCTTCAAATCAGCATTTTTGTATCCTTTCCTATACTATTTTTCTTAGTTACTTTTCAAAACTATCTACAGTAGTTTTGATATACTAAAAAGTGTTGTAAAATATCTTAAAATCCAAGCCTATTCAGTAGCAAAAATAATCAGAAACCAGGTAAAAAAAAATCCTGTTCAATAATGAGATAAAATGAATTAAAAAAATGCTATTATCCTGATGGGTTAAAGTGTTCTGGTCACAAAGACACTGATGGGGTTGTGAGAAATCCCCTATTACAAAAAAGCTAAAGCTTAGCAGCTAAGAGGTTCTGGAAGGCATATTATTGCTCCTTTTTTACAAACTGCCTCTAGCATAAATTATGGATATTTCAGGGTCCTGTCAAATAGTGGCCATTAAAAAAGAAATTAAGAATTAAAGAAAGCATGTAGATATTGCTACAGTAAAGAGAGGTCTCCTGTTAGCAATATTAGCACTTGCATTTTTGTATTTCTATTGTTGATGAGGGGCAGGGATGAGGTTGAATTGTGCCTGTCTTTAACTATCAGTCTGTTCCTCAGTTTCCCACCTCAAAAATGGGGAATGAACCCTTTTCTTTGTCTTTCTCCCAGAGAGGATATAAGAATAAAGGGTCACATGAATCCTTTGAGCACCTCACAAAAAATAAATAAATAAATAAATAAATAAATAAATAAGCTGTATAAATTCAGAGTCAATTATATCATATTACTAGGAAATTCTCAGGTGGGCTGTATATGAAGTAGATGATAATCCTGCTTTATCTTCTGTGTGATTTCCTAAGTAAAACAAAACAAAACAAAACAAACAAAAAAACTTACTATCATCATTTGTTACTCTTAACTTTGACTTCTCATAAGATTCCTTTCACTAGAGCCACACTGTCCTGTATAGTAGCCATTAGCCACATATGGCTATTTAAATTTAAATTTAAATTTTAACTGGGGCGCCTGGGTGGCGCAGTCGGTTGGCGTCCGACTTCAGCCAGGTCACGATCTCGTGGTCCGTGAGTTCGAGCCCCGTGTCGGGCTCTGGGCTGATGGCTCAGAGCCTGGAGCCTGTTTCCGATTCTGTGTCTCCCTCTCTCTCTGCCCCTCCCCCGTTCATGCTCTGTCTCTCTCTGTCCCAAAAATAAATAAACGTTGAAAAAAAAATTTTTTTTTTAATTTAAATTTTAACTAATTAAAATGAACTAAAATACAAAATTCAGTTCCTCAGTCTTATTAGCCACATTTCAAGCACTCAACAGGTACATGTGACTACTTGCTGTCATGTTGGACAGAGAGAACATTTCTGTCATCACAGAAAGTTCAATTGGACCTTGCTGGCCCCAAGGATACTCAGGCTGAATGACCCTAATGCTCTGTGGCCTTAAGGTAACCATTGATAGCATTTCAAGGATTGAATGACCCTAGAAGTTCTGAGAGTACTTCATAATCACATCAGTGTCAGACTAAGGGAAAGCCAGAAGTAAGCAAAGAGAAATTAAATAGGCAATAAAGAAGAAAGAAGGAATGATAGCCAGCAAAAGAATACACACTGACATTATTATAAAAGGATAAAAAATGACTCAGAAGTTCAGTGCTTCAGCAGAGGTATAATTTTACTTAAAACATTTGCCACAGGTGGTTTGCACAAAATGCATCAATCCAATGCTGACTTTCTGATGTCCTAATTGGGTTTTCAGACATTCCAGCTAAATCACACAGGAACTATTTCTTGAAATTGTGATGAAGCTTAACCTCCCTTCTGAATACCTCATGTTTAAAAACATTTTCCTCAAAGAGGTGTCAGCAGATATTAATGTAGATACTTGCAACTTGTGTGTTTATCTTTGTTTGGGCTGCTTGTACTCACAAGTAATTTTCATGTTTACCAAAATTTTGGCCTCTATTTCCTATATAAAAAGGAATTATAATTTAGCATATATTGTGTTATTTGTTCCAAAAAGTAAGAGACTAACCTATGTATGTTTGCATTTAGGTCATTCTGTCCATTGAAGAAGGCTATAGACTTCCAGCTCCCATGGGCTGTCCAGCATCTCTACACCAGCTGATGCTCCATTGCTGGCAGAAGGAGAGAAACCACAGACCAAAATTTACTGACATTGTCAGCTTCCTTGACAAACTGATCCGCAATCCCAGTGCCCTTCACACCCTGGTGGAGGACATCCTTGTGTAAGATGCATCGTGTCGATTTTTCCCCCTCAACAATCATTTCTTTCAGGCTATAGACAAGACTAACAGGTAGAGAGGAGAAAGTTTACTGTAATAACTGTCTAGTTGCCAACCTTTTAGAATATTTTATACAAACCATATTTTGTTTATCAGCTGAAAAAATAATTTATTAACATTGTTAAATGGATTTTTTTTAAAGAAAACAGGTACTCCTTTTGTTCTCTCCATATCTAATCTTTCTGAATTACTTTATATATATATATATATATACACACACACATATATATGTACATATATATACACATATATATGTGTGTGTATATATATATATTCTTTTTTTTTAACCTGTGGGCATCTTTGGTATTTGTATATCTTTTTTTTTATTTACCTATCCTTCCTTGCCTCTGTAAGTAGTATTGGTATATATTTGCAGCCTCTTTAATTTTCTTGTCCATTCTATGTTCTGTCCCTCTATTTGAAATGGCAAGCAAGACAGGGGCAATTTGTGAATCAGCCAGGAGTGAGGATGTTTCCTGCTGATATGATCACACCCAGCTATTGTTACTTTCCATTCCTAAAACCAGAAAAAGACAAATGACAAGACAAGAAAATGAAGGCGCTCATACACCATTTTGTGAAAGTCAGTAGAGTTGAGAAGATCTACTCCTCTCTCTCTAAAAATCAGTTATAAGAAGGGGGGAGTGTAGAAGAAAAGAAACAGTACTATCTATGTCTGAAAAGATTACATTTAAAATATTTTCAGACTGAGAATTTATGTCTTTATTTAGCCAAATAGGACTTAGAAATACCCAAAGTATTTCCAAAGCTCACTTTCCTAACTCAGGGGACAGCCAACAGGATATACAGATGTTCAACTTTAGGTCATAGGTTCAAGTCGGTGCAGGTTTTAGTATTAAGGCCAAAGGCTCTTCAAGGACTACTTAAAGCAGGCCTCAGTTCACTGCAGAGCACACAAGAATTCACCTCTAAATCACTAATTGGCAGCCTCAGTAAAGTGAAGCCAAGCGTGAAATAGCTAGAGATTAAACTATTACTCTAGCCCATCTTCCCTAAAGCAGTCCAACAGAGGAAGTTTAAAGGGCGGCAGGGGGAGGGGAACGATTTAGGATTTTATCATGAAAGGGCAGTCATTGAAGGATTTTAAGCAAGAGAATGGCATGATCACATTTACATTTCTGCAAGATCACTCCAGAGCTGATTTAGACTGAGTGCAAAACAAGGAACAAGACTGGAAACAGAGATAGATGCTTATAGAAACTCAAGATAGAAAAGATTAGGGCCTGACTCATGAAATGGGAAAAAAGCGTGGGGTCAGGAGATAAGAGAATGGATTTATTATCAGGCAAGGAAAAAAAAATGTGTCTTGGTCACCGATTGAATATGGAGGGAGGAGAGAGAAGAATCAAGAATTTTGTCAAAGTTACTTTCTTAGACAAGCTGGATGATATATTACCACTAAGAGAAAGAGAAAGAAGGATAAGGTTCTAGAATAGAAATGAGACCATTTCAAGTAAGCTGAATTGAAGGTGCCTGTCGGGTGTGTGGGTGGAGATGTCCAATAGGCAGTTATATGTGTAGGTTGAACCTCAGGTGGAAAGATCTGAGCTGAAGATTTGAAGATCATCAACATAGAGACTATAGCTGAAGATTCATGAATATTAAGATGACCCATGGAGACTATAAAGTATGCAAATTAACACAGGGAAAGAGCACAACACCAAGATTTAAGAAATAAGCTGAAGGAGAGTACCCAGAGGAGACTGAGAAAGAAGAACCGGACAGGTAATAATGAAAGCAGGGAAAGAGCAGTGTCATAGGAGCTAAAAAAAAAAAAAAAAGAAAAGAAAAAAAGAAACAAACAAACAAACAAAAACAATGGGGAGAGTTTTCAAGGAGTGTAATGCCCCAAGTCTTCACAAAGCTTCAGTAAGATAAAAAGTGACGTGGGCCCATTGAATTTAGCAACAGAGTGGTCAGGTATTTATGCGCAGCCTTAGCGAGAGCATTTGAATAAAGTTGTGTGAGACAGACTGCAATGGAGCAGAAGTAAATATGAGGTCAGAGAGAAGAGCAATACAAAGCACTAAGAAGCCTGTCTCTGAAGAGAAAGAGAAGTAGTTGGAGAAAATATTTCTTGGTTTTTGTTTTTATATGTCTTATTGAAGAGATGGGTATGCATTGACATGGAAGAGAAAGAGCTAACAGAAAGAGATCATGCAGTGAGTGTGCATTAATGGAAAAGAACTTTGGTTATCTATAAACTGAACTCATTTAATCTGAGCCTTTCATTGTGGTATAGGGTTAATGGACCCCACAGCCAGTGCCCATCAACAGAGCTCTCTAACTGTTCTATGGCTGTAGAAGCAGGCAGGTAAGAACCTTCTTTTTGAAGAATAGTAGATAAAACTATTTCTTCCCTGCTTTTTCAATATTATGAATGTTTATCGTACTTGGAAAATAATGATGAAGACTCTAAGATGAGAAATATGCCAAAAAGTCAAAATGATCCTGAGGTAAAGTCAACATGAGGGCTTGTGTCTTAAGGCCAGAAATTTATGGTTTGATGTTATATGCGGTGTCCTGTGGACAGGCCAGCAAATGGCAAGTCTGTGATGGCACCACCACACATGGTCAAGAGTTGCATACTTTATATAAAGTTGGCAGTTTCATTTGATGACTGATTTGCTGTCCTTGTTTCTGATAAAGATATATGGGCTAGTGTTTTCTGCTGTTAATGTACTTTTGTTTGAGGGGCACCTGGGTGGCTCAGTTGGTTAACTGTCCGACTTCGACTCAGGTCATGATCTCACAGTTCATGGGTTTGAGCCCCACCTCGGGTTCTGTGCTGACATCTGGGAACCTGGAGCCTGCTTCAGATTCTGTGTGTCCCTCTCTCTCTCTCTCTGCCCCTCCCTTGCTTGTGCTCTCTGTCTCTCTCTCTCCCTCTCAAAAATAAATAAGCCTTTTAAAAAATTAAAAAATATATTTTTTGTTTGAGAAACAAAAGGAACCAGAGTTCTAAGGGTACTAGGCCTAACCATTATCACCATTCTTATTTTCACAGCAGCCTGAGAGGGTTACCCTTATCTACCCCTTCACCTCCAATGCCACCTACCCACCCTGTCCCTGATCCCAGAGAACTGGGACTGTTTAAGGGCAAGAGATGTTGGTATGAAGGATAGCATGTTAGCTGAAGAATGTGTGGTTTGTTTTATGAACTGCCCCATCTACCCCCCAAGTCCCAAAGCCCAGTCATCTGTCTCCAAGTGATGTTGGTTTAAAGAAACATGACAGAGAATAGAATTTCAGTCTTTCCTCCCATTTATCTTTCAAACAGGTAAAGGAGTTTAAGTGTATAATCCACGGCAACTCTGATTAAACCCTCCTGTACTGTTATTAAACATCAAGTATTCCCAGACTCCCAGGTTTCTCCCACACTTCTACACTGACATAACTCTCTCATCCACTAGGGTCCCTATGGTTTTTATTCTACTCTAATTGCTTTTTTCTCAAGAATTCACCTGAGAAGCTTTTATCCTTTCTTTTGACAGAATAGTAAGAGGAGAAGAAATTAAAGGCAACAAAAGGGATGAGGAAAGCTGTGAAACCCACAGCTCAATAATTTTATACTAGCATATCAGAAATTTTATAAATCTTGTATCGGCAGTTTTTCCTTTCAAAAGACAGAACACCCAATAGAAAAAATTTTGGTCAGAGAAAGCTTTCATTGGAGCAGCGCTTCTAAATAATGCTGATATTCTCATGCCTGGCATGCTCCCATGGGGATATGCAGAGCTCTATAATTCTGAGCATTCTTACTTTCTGTCCTACTCAAGTATGTGGATATATAAGTGAGCATAGCAATATTATAAGTATAACTTTAAATCCAATTGATTTAAAAAAAATACTTTGTATACTTTATATAAAGTTGTAAAAAGTACCTTATAATGTAGGCATTCATCCTTTTATAAATGTGAATTTCACACTACCTTCACTTTTATTCATTCTACAATGTTGCCTTATAACCTCCTTTTGAAGAAGTATTTGTAGCTGTCACATGGTGCACAGCCCCTGGGAGAAGAGGCTCACTTTGAGGCCAAGGCTATATGGAGAATGGCATCAGGAGCAGTTCCTGGCCATGACCTTTGAAACATCTCTTGCTCCCTTTCCCCTGACCCTCATAATAAATGCTATAGCTACTCTCAACCCCAGGCCAAGCATACTCCCATGAGGCCAGGGTTACATGTGAGGTCCGGTGGTTTAATAGTATAAAGTGAACTGATGACTATATGGATGCCCCTTCAACCAGCCCAACCTTCCCCCACCACACCCACATTATTCTACACATTCATTCTCCAACCTCTTCAGCTCTCACCCCTGATTCCTCCATTCACTCAGCATACTGAGTGCACTAGGCTGAAGTCAGCTGGCCAGTGCCTTTTTGGACAGTGCTACCATATGGTGGGAGAATAACACTTTCCTCCAGTCCCTGCTCTACATCCCCAGCACTAACAAAGAATTTTACACATTATGAGCTCTTTTGACAACATCAGGTGAAAAGGTGGCATTCAGGGATGGGCAGCTGTTGACCCAATGGGCCAGTCATTGATAGTCACCTGCCTCAGAAATCATGTTCTGCCAAGTTCAAGACACTTAGAAATATTCTCACTGCCCACTGGGCCATAGTTAGGGATCTTAGAATATTTTAGCTGTTAGAAACTAGAACCACCACTTTCCTTCCTATTGAACTTTCAAGCACTTGGCTACCTACTTGGCTTCATGATATGTGAGTCATGAAGGTAGGAAAAAGTTCAAACCAGTGTCAAAATTGAGAACCTCTGCTTAGAGAACCACAAGTAAACATTACAAGGTTAAATGGTACTACCTCTTCTGTACCATTTATAAAGCACTTGGAATGTTGTCTTCTGAGGGCAATAACTTTCAATTTGATATAAAATTTTCCTTTCATTTTGAAAAGATCTTCCTCAATGCTGTCTAGGCTTTAGCACTTGCTAAAATCAGTTATCTCTATATACCAAGTCATGGATAAACTTATTTTGTTTAATTTTTTTATAACTAGAACTTTTAGTGGTATTTTCCATGACATAAATGACTGGCTCGCCAAAACCAGTGTTGTAATTGATTGATTAGCAATCTTTGGGGGAAGGAAGACAAAATATTAAATGTTAATCAGGAAGTGTGAACCTTCTACCTGTTAGAAAACCTAAATTTAATTCACATGAACTGTCGGAACAAGCTACTGATAATACTGATATTAATACCAATACTAACACTGATAAAAATCCCAATATATATCATCAATAATAACTATTATCACCATTTGTTGAAAGCTTAGTGTGTGCCAGTTATTGTACTAGGTACTTTTATTTATTAGGTCATTTACTCCTCACTATAATTATCCCCATACCTCACATAAGGAAATGGAGACTCAAAGAGTATAGCAAGTAATTAGTGGATTGGGTATTTTAACAAGGCCCACCAAATGCAAAGCCCTTGTTCTTTCCACCACACAGTATGCAATCATGCAAAATGTCAAGATATTTCCCAATATGGCACTGTTTCAGAAATACGAATATAGGAAAAGAGGATACATTTTTTTTTTTTTTTTACATTTCCAAATAGGTTTTCTCTGGACTAATCAGACTTCATAGATGGAGTATATTAAAAGCCCAAAAATAATTTGCAGTGAGGCACAGTCTGTTATTTTATGTTCTACTAAGCCAATACAAGGAGGTAGAGTATATGCCTTCATTCATGGTAATAAGTAGCAAGCATATAGTCCATATATCCCCTCAACATCCTCCTACAATGTTCAGCCACTTGAAGAACATTACTTGAGAAAAAAAAGAGTAGTAACTATAACAAAATAGAGAAATGAGGAAAATATGGCAGCAACATAGTTCTAGGACTATATCCTCAGGCATTTTGTAGATTGAATTTTTCCATTGTTGGCAAATATATGCTTTCCTTCTTTTCCTTGTTATGGTAGACATTACTAATCATCACAACACTCTTTCCCACTACACCCAAATGCTGCCATAGTATCCTTTTTAAGAACATATTTTGACAACCACTGCCAATGAACTATACTTAGCATGTGATAAGAAATCCATTTCTGTCCCTATATTATTTTCTTACAAGAATAGTCTTTCCTTGAGGTTCACTGATCTGTCACTCTGGCTGTAGGGACAATGTGCTAGGTGTTTAGAATTATGGGAGATTTTTAAGCAGTATTATTCCTACTCTGTATATTACTCCTAATGTTCAAACACATCTACAATATTGAAATTTTCATTCCTTCCTACCTTCCACCAGTTATCATCCTTATGGGAATTAAATAATCATATCAATTTTTTAAAAAAACTTGAAGACACTGAAAATAAAACTTTGATGAAAAATAACTCATCCTCCCAATAGAATACTGTGGAGAGTCAGATTGTTTGGAACCATGAGATATCACCCACAAGCATGAAATAGGCACAAAATATATTGCATGGTTCTATGCATTTGAGATTTTATAGCATTTTGAGTAAAATCATACTTTAAAATTTTAAAAAGAATACTAAAATTCATTTACTAATTTAACTTGTGTTCAAGATTACTATTAGAGCTCATTGTAGAAAGAGCAAGGTTTTCTTTTTCTTTCTTTTTTTTTTAAATTTTTTTAATGTTTATTTACTTTTGAGAGTGAGAGAGAGCACAAGCAGGGGAGGGGCAGAGAGAGAAAAGGAGACACAGAATCTGAAGCAGGCTCCAGGCTCTGAAATATCAGCACAGAGCCCGACACGGGGCTCCAACCCATGAACTGTGAGATTATGACCTGAGCCAAAGTCTGACGATCAACCGACTGAGCCACCCAGGCACCCCTCTTTTTCATCTGATTAAATAAATTCTTCCTTCAGAGTTTAGGTAGATATTTTATGTATTAGAAGATTATTTTATGAATTAACTAAATAGTGTGAAGTGTAATCCCTGAGTTATGAGATCAGAAACTCATGTGAAAGCTGTGATATTGAGTAAGTTGAATGCAGCTGCTATGGTTCTAGATCCCTAACCCTGTGCTACCTCACTACACCTTTAGCTGCCTCTACCTCCATTCTGAAACCTATAAAGGCAGAAGCAAACATTTTCACAATACAAGGAACAAGTTAAATAAACAACATGTTCCTTAATAGGTTGACCATTATATTAATAGGCATTTACTCTTCAATTTAAGGGAACTAAATGAAAAGAGATCATTCATCATTAATCAGTCATTATGTAATGGACCAAACTTTTCTATAGAGAATATTTAAGTCTAAATCATCACTTATTTAATAAATTCCTATAATACTTTCAGCATTGTGCTAAGGTTGACAGAAAATAGAAAGATATGTGAGATATGGTCCCAGCCATCAGGGAATTTTAACTTTATAAAAAAAATTCTTCTGTCTTACGGATTTTTCCCAAAGAAGTAATTCAACTAAAACAAAAAGATACATGTTGTAAGACTGCATAGTCATCTGTAATAAAATAATGTTGCTAGCCATCTAGGAGTCTAACTTCAGTTAAGTTAGACTTAACTTAGAAGTCTAACTTCTAACTTCATTAAGAAATGAAATAAAAGCCATATAAAATAGAATGGACCCTACCTGTACAGTTCTGCTAACCATATATAAATGGAGGAGCTAGGGGAAAGAAAGTTATATTAGAGTAGTAACAAGAGAAAAGCCATTAAGCATGTGATGGCTTCATGTTAAAACAAGATCTTACCTTACAACAGTATTTCTCAAAGTATAACCTTTATTGAATCATTTTTAATCAATATATTACTATTATATTTGAGTCATAAATATAAAACATGGAAAACTTTTGAGGATAAAAATCTTGCTTTTTACTGGCAGTTTTAATACCTACTGATTAGCTATATGATAACTTTCTAAATTAAAAGACTAGTACTATTGTGAACTCAAAGGGCTCATTAAAGTAAAAACTTATTGGCTCTCTCAGGGCTACTTAATTTTACATATTTAGATGTATTACAAGTATGTGTGTGTGTGTGTCTGTATGTATGTATATATATATATATATATATATATATATATATATATATATAATCATCATCGAACCTTAAACTGTGTCATTACCTATTCTACCTATATTCCAGCCCTCTCTCTAACCTAAATTGACCATCATTTATACACTTAGAATTTACTAACTTTACCCCTTCCTCATTTTTCTGAGGAAAGTTGTAGACCCTTGACCTTCTGTTCTACAATATGTAGTTTTTTCAATGTGAGCTGCAGATTTTGCTGTAAAGACATTTCTCAGGTGGGCAGCTCCCACTAATCACCAAATAGCAGAAATTTCTATGTGCTCAGCAAATAGCAGACTGAATTTATCATTGTACATGGTTGATAAGAAAGGGCATTTATTGTTTATTAGGTAATATTCCAGAGAATTCATGTGAGGGTGATGGTACCCAGCCCTCAAAGGCAGAAAATAGCAGCATTTTTCAACTTCTTTATAAGATAAGGTGAAAGAAAAGTTATTGCACAGTGGATATGAACAATGAGGGGACCCTGACCTTACTAAATCAACTGCCAATGCAGTCGTAGAAAGGCCAAAGAGTAACTAGGTTACTAAAGATGTGTGGAGAGAAAGGGAATTATGGTAGTGAGACATTCTGGGAGCAAATAGTAAATGCTTTTCAACAGAGAAAGAGACCATTTAAGTCATTTAGGACACAGAACGTCCTTCCACGACCTTTCTATACTAAGGATATAAAATTAGCAAATTACATTTCCACTCACCAATTACATGAAATTGTGAAATTTCAAAAGTTATTCCAGAGTTATCTCAGGGGATTGAAGTGCAAGTCATCAAACTTTGTGCATCAAGAATGGGATAGGAGCATGAAGGGAAAGTCACTGAAGTACGTTCTTTTAATTTTGTTCAGTCTCAACAAACCTTTGACAAGTAATTAAAAGGTATGGGAGCCACACTGTTTTAGAATAGGACATTCAGTTTTCTAGTGTATGTGGCTTTATTTATGTTAACAAGCAATAAGGGTACCCTAGTCATTTTGATATTTAAACTTAGTGAACTTCCTACAGCAGTATTTCTTAAACTATGCTTTACAGAAACTGGTGAAACAATTTAGGAAAATAATGCAGAGGCTATTCTTAATCCTCTTATATGTTCACATTGCACATTAAAATAGTGAAGACTTGGAGAAATGCTATAATTAAAATTTCTGTTTAACTTTGTTTGCAATGGATATCTTTATTATTTTGTATTTTATATGAATTTTTGCTTATTTTATAATACTTATTAATACCTTTAGGAAATAAAAAATATAGCAATAATTACAGTATTTATTAGTAGATGCTATGATAGGTTTTCAACCTTTGGACATAACTATTCTTCATTAGGGTCAAATCATGAGTCGTTCTGATACTAATTTGAATGAATCATCCCGCAATCAAAATAGCATTGCAATTTATTGTATAAAAGAAGAACATGTAGCTTTTAACAGCCTCCCAACTTGTCAATACAGCAACAGAATTGAGTACTAGTAAAAAGGGTATAGTCACTGTTAAGAATAACCAGACTTAATATGGACCACTTGGTAGTCACAAGATATATGCATATAGCTTATGCAAATTCCAATTGCATATTAAAAGCAAAAGCCCTCTTTTTCCTCATTATTTCTCTTCACCTTCATCTCCACCTTCAACTAGACCCCAGTTTAGAAAAAGGGAAGTCAGTGTAGCAACCAAAGGAAAACCAAAGAAGTGAACCCTAGGCCTTTAGTGGGGACTGTGTCCTGAAAAATTCCAAGGGCCACTTTCAGACTTTTCATGAGTTGTTCCGTATGCAATTTGTATGGCCATGCAGGATGTCTCTGACTTTTGTGTACCTAAAGACCCAAGGCCTGGTGATTTAAGGGTAACTTAAAGGATTTTATGGGTAGTTTTGATTATTAGAGATTTTTCTTTTTTACCTTATGCACTAATCTTAACTCCCATTCTCATATATTTTTAACAGAATGATACCAGGGTCATATGGCATGCATACTCCATTCTACAGTGCAGGAATTCTTATTTCATGTGGTTTCATCATATGTGTTCATACACTATCAGTTTCTAGTTAAAGCTGAAATAGTTCAAATATGAATGGCAAAAACTACTATGATGAAGTATTCCAAATATGAATGTTAAAAACTATGGATCTAGTTAAGTCTCTATGGATTCCATCATTCTTCAATTTTATAAAAAATTAAAAGTGAAGTAAATGAAAGTTGGATTATCCTTCAGTATTCTAATAAAAATAATTCAATGGCTTGCCTCTAATGGGAATATTTTTCATTACTTAGAAAATACTGATTTGACTCAAATACCAAACATAAAAAAAAGGTTATTGCTTTACTATTTAATATAAACTCTAGACCTAATAATTTTTAAATGATATATTTATTACCCTAGAGGGCTAAAAACTCACTTATTACTATAAAAGCAATTTTACTGCCAGGTATTTTGTAAAACTATATAAAATATTTTTACAGTGTTCATGTATTTCTATAAGGAGAATAATATACTCTATTGCCAGAATCAGTTAAATACACAATTCTTAGTTAATTTTACTATAATTTGTAAGGTTACTTCCATGTTTATTCTATTTTTACCTTACATAAAACTATTATGTGTATTTACATACACATATATGTACATATATACACATACACAAATATGTATGTATGTATTTATGAATACACACACACCTGCTAGCCTTCCCAAAATAATACCTCTGTATTATTTTTATATTAAAGCTACAAAAATATCCCCAATTGGAATGCCCTTTGCATTAGATATTAGGAACAAAAATACAGATGTCTATATGACTTACTGTAAGATCCATCAATGCTGGATTCCTTTTGCTTGTGAACCCAACCTTGCTTTGATTTTGCTTTGTTTTATACCACAGTAATATCTGTGTTTTGGTCTATCTTACCCTATGCATGGATGCATAGGTAAATTTTATTCATGCAAGTGAGCTCTGTAACAGGGGAAATTACTTTTTAATAAATAATAAATATTTGTTGAATGTTTGAGAACAAATAAGTGGAGGACTGATCAGTGAATTCACTGTAAAAAGGAGAAGGGACTCTCACAGCAAATGCAAAGGCAAACGGGCATGGATTCAGTGGCAGGTTAGAAAGTGTAAGAGTAAACAGCCTGTGGCTAGTTACTGTCCTTTGGGGATGGATACTGGGCTATTCCTTATGTTTGAAAACACAAATGTATGCAAGAGAAAAAAGTAAATAGCAGTTAGCAAGATGCAAGTCTTCTCACATCAAGTATAAAACCCAATAGTGGCAAAAAGCAGAAAAAGAAAAACTGACAAATGAAAGTGACCAGATAAAAGTGGCTGATTTAAATATGATAGAAAATTAGAGATTTTTTTAATGGAGTATGAGAATATTAGTCATAAGAATATTGTAAAAGGAAAAAAAAGTTGTTTTTATTTAATTTTTTCTTTATCTGACTGTTAAATGGATTTTTTTTTTTTTTTTTTTTTTTTTTTTTTAGAATGCCAGAGTCTCCTGGTGAAGTTCCCGAATATCCTTTGTTTGTCACAGTTGGTGACTGGCTGGATTCTATAAAGATGGGACAATATAAGAATAACTTCATGGCAGCAGGGTTTACGACTTTTGACCTGATTTCAAGAATGAGCATTGAGTAAGTGGTCCTAGGTTTATTATTATATTCAGACGCTGCACTCGGGAGATTACAAATTCAAATGCAGTATCAGGAACACCATGATTCAACTATTTCCTAAGGGTAGTATGGCATTTCCACATCTTTCCTCACCATTTCTGATTATCATTCCAGTGGAAATTGGACACTACACTGTTAACTATTTTCTGTTGGAAGAATGTGTTTAATTCAAATAGGTATTTTCAAAATTGTAAATGCTTTCTGAAATACATATGACTCTCATTCACATCCTAGACTTTACATCAACATAGTTAACCTAGGCAAATTACTTATGACTCACATATACCACCTATATTATAAATGTTGGACATTTTTCCATTGTCTCAAAAATGATTCTTTGCCTGGATGCAGTAAAAATGTTCAGCATGTGCTTAACAGATAGCCGGTTGGTTGAACTATAAGAAATTGCCATTATTTTGAAGTAATAATAGCAATTTCATATAGTTCAACAGAATACAATGGCATTTTATTCATATTATTGGATGACCATAGGGCTCCAATACAGTCCACATTATACATTCTACCCTATATATTATTTTCTAATGCTGTTGAAAAGTTGTGTCATTATCTAAATTGTATACCTTTTAGTTCTATGAAATGTCTGAACCTTACACTGGTACCTGAATTTGAAACATTTCTTTGTACCCTTAAATTTGAGGTTGACTTGATAGATTATCTGGTGCCAGGAAGAAGAAAAATGTAACAAACTCCTGATGTTCATTTATATCTTTGTTTAAACTCTCATTTTACCGGTTACACAATTTTTGTTAAATTCATAAGGCAAATCTGACATGGTGCATATCTTCTGTCTCAAAATCTTCATTTCCTAATTTGTCTTTACCAGATCTATGAACCAGATGTCCATATTCTCTCTCCTCTTCCCTCCCCTCTCTCTATCTTTGTCTCTTACAGTGATATTAGAAGAATTGGAGTCATACTCATTGGACACCAGAGACGAATAGTCAGCAGTATCCAAACTTTACGTTTACACATGATGCACATACAAGAGAAAGGATTTCATGTATGAAAGTACTACAAGCACTTGTGTTTTGTGCCTCAGCATTTCTAAAGTGAAAGATATCCTCTCTACTACCCTCCCTTCCGATTCTCCAAACATCACTTCACAAACTGCAGTCTCCTGTTCAGACAATGGGCACACACCTTTTGTTTATGCTTCCAACCCGGATTTTAAAATCACGCCTCATAGCTCCTCTCTGAGTTACCTGCAAATGAAACCCTGGCCCACTGCAGATTACCACTACACAATGGTAAATAACTCAGCATGGATGTGCAACTTTGTACAACAGTATTTGGGAAGTGTTCACAAACTTAACCTAACGGAATTTTCCCAGGTGTGGCTTCCTTAATGATGGATGTATTTAGAGTTTGATGATATATGAAAAAGAAATAGTTGACCTTTCTTTCATGTTTTGTGATCAGGTAGCTTCCAAACTGACATAAATATGTTTTAGATAATTATATTCAACTCTGTGGATCATATTGTTACTTTATTTTATAATAGTTTAACTGTTAATGCCTGATGTTGTTAGACTTATTTGCAGCAATGACCAATGATTTCATTTGGTGAATTCTTGCCATATGTGACTGCGCTAAGAAGGGGGTTATCAGGGAGGAAGAGGGAGAAACACTCTGTGCTTTTCAATCTTCTAAGGCTGAGTTTGTCTATTCTTTTAAATTGACCTTGTAGTGTCCTACATATTTTGTAATAAGTGGTAGTTTAGAGGCTTTTCCCCTTTAATTTTTACTAACTACATTTCTCTCCTACATTATGAAGCTCACCCCAGAAAGATCAAGAGTGAGTCCAGTGTTCTAAAGGCTTTCATAGAGGAAGCATGAAATAAAACCATGTCTGTTCCCTTGGTTCACCTTCATAAGTTTGCAAAAGCAATTTTCAAAGCATTGATAAAATTAATTATTTTCAGGGGAATTGCTTTGAAAAACAAATCTAAGATTATAGCCTTAGATATAATGTAAAGAAGATTAAACAGAATTTTATGATAGCTGTATGAGGGCCCCAAGAATAAATACATTTGGCTGACAGTCTGATATTGGTGCATTTTGCAAGTTTAAGAACTTTTATATTTTGTTCATGAAAAATAAGTTAGTTACATGAACATGCTGAGCTGTTTTCCGAACCTCTCAAGAGACAAGTATGTCACTGCATGTTCCAAAGGTATGAACAGACCTAAAACATGAGCGTATATAAATTGTGTGTCAACCTGAGTCCATAACATAGTAACATAAAAATGTGAACACAGCTATAGTGTATTGTCATAATCTTCTCAGAGGCTGCAAAAAAAAGGCAAATCCTTTTTTCAGTGAATTAAGCTGAGTCAATTTATCAAAATAGTACTGCTTGATGAATAAATTCAATTGTAAAATCAGCTGTTGCCTGAGAAACTAAAAAAAAAAAAAAAAAAAAAAAAAAGGCTACTGTGCTAGGTGTGGAAGAGTAGGGAGAATGTGTTAAGACAGAGGAAAAGGAGCAGGTTATCTAAAGATGCTGATTTAATAAGTCGGTTTTTCTTTGATTTAAGAGATAAAGGTGCCCAAACCACATTCTCCAATTCCTACCTAAATTACATTTTTTGCTAATAGCAGCTGTCTTGCTATTAAAGGAGACTCACTCTTTCTTTTATTCTTCTTTTAAGACTTGTTGACTGTCCCATTAGACTAGACCCTTCCACATACATTTCTTTTGCTGATTTATGTCCCAATTTTTGCTTACTGCAGCTTAATTTTTTCTCATTTCAAATAAAAATTGTATAGAACTAGAAGGAAGAGTCTTTAAAGTATTCCTTAAAGTATATTAAAAAAAGAAAAAAGTGAGAAATTCATCACTTTTTAAGTAAGTGTGTCAGAAATAGCAACATTTTCTACCCATCACTTGCATGGTCATGCATCACTCATACACTATCTGCAGTTTGCTTGATACATTTACACAAATCTGGATACATTTAGAGGAAATACAAAATTTCCATATTTACTGTCTTCAAATATATATTAAATAAGAACAGATGTAAAACAGATTAAATTTATTAATCATATATATTTATTTTTATAATACAACAAAAAAGGTATTTAGAAACATAAGGAATAGAATAATTATGGTCTTCCATAGGACTCTGTCAGCAACATCTGTATACTTTGATGAAATAAATTCTATAAAGTATTTAAACTTCTTTGAGATGAGCATTCAGTACTTGAAAGATTAAAGTTCACTGTTAAGAATTTATTTCTTAATACAGAGATCTTTTTTCTATATCTGATTTATATTTCTTTTTTTCTTCCCTAACATCTTCCTCTAGTATTATAAAACTACCTTTTCACTTTGTGTCTTACCTCAAATGCTCTTTAAAATTTCTTTAAAATTACATTTATATTCTTCAGAACTGTAAGCATGATAATCTTACGTGTAATTTTGAACCTCATCATGGTCAGAAATGTAGCGTGCACACATGATTGAAATAGGTGTGCATGATTAAACAGAAACATTAAAAAAATAAGGATATCTATTTCTTCATTGACTACCAATCACAGACCCCATGATCCCAAGGATATTATAATATCCAGGAATATTAACAGTTAAATTGCCAAATTCATTTGGAAACTTTATAGGAAATATTTTGAGATTTACTAGCGTACCTGTCTAGTAATTAAAACTGTTTAATATGCATAAGTATAGAATTTAATTACATAAAGAAAATTAGTAACTTACATAAATCACAGCTTTCAGTAATGATATTTGATAACTTCAATATGCATATACCTTCATGTACTTGCTTTATTTTAAATTTCCTATTTCACACTACTGAGAAGCTTTTGAGATTTTGAAAATCGGAGAGTTGAAAAAAACATTTTCATTTTATTTTCTGGGTGGTCAGTTTCCAATATATAACCACTCAGTACCTCAGAGTATAAGGCATATTTGGGGGGGGGGGGAATGTAAAAACAATACACAAGAAGAGATGTTAGGTTTGTAAATCATTTAAAAAGCAATCAAATTACAAAGCTCTTGGCTTAACAAGAATCAAGAATTATAGCACTTTTGCACTAAGTTATCTTAGTTGTTGATAAGTAAGTTATGCATGCCATAATAAAAAAAAATTTGTTATTTCACTCTGCATTACTCTTTAAAATCTATCCAGCTATCACCTGAATAAAACAGCCTTCTGGCTACAGTTCTAAGGCCTATCTCAGCCTATGAAGGGAAAACAAATCCAAATCCAATCCCTGAAAAGCAGTCTTTACAGAAGGTCTTCCGAAGAGATGGTGAAGAATGAATCTCGACCACATTTCCCTAAAAATCCATTTTTTAATATATTTCCCTACCAAATTTCTACTTTATAAATCGGTTAAATCTCTTATCCCAAAATCTTCACCAATATTAGGTCTCTTTTTTCTATTCCTTCATTAAATTTTCTAAAACCACCTTGCTCAGCCCCTTCTGTTCTCTCTTTACTCCTCCACCCCGTCTCTTTTCCTTTCTCAGCTTCTACCACTCCACCCCTGGTCCCTATCAACAAAAGAAGCACAGCAAACCTAAAAAGGTCTTACCACTGTCCTCAGAAGAGGCTGAAGGTAAAGGGAAGAAGGGAATATTACAGAAGTATTTGGGGTCTCACTACATAAATGGGAGCATTTGCACTCACAGAGAGGGAATGAACTCTGGCTTTTTATTACCTGGAAATTAAATGCTTTGGAAAGTAATCCCAAAACGGATGATGATGATTCTTTTCTACAGCTTTAGATAAGGAAATTTATTATTAATTTAAAAATTTGTATTCTAGGAATCAAAACCTGTTATCAATTCACAGTTGGTGTATGTGTGCTTATATAACAAAGAGATTAACAGCAAATATATCACTTCTTTTAATATTATCACCTTGACTTCTCCAAGGCTCATATTATTTCATGTCCAATCAAAAAATATTTTGATGCTTTTTATATGAAGACTCCAAAAGGTAAAGGAGTATGCTGAGTCAAATTGATGTTATTCTCCCATTGGATACCGGGCACTGAAGTCACCTAACTTTCAGTTCTTGTGATCAATATTTCAACAACTTTCAATCTGTATAATGTTCAGTAAAGGCAGTGTCAACTATTTAGTTCATTCTAACAAATATCTATGAGGTGTCTCCTACACACGTAAGATTTTATGACAAAGATGAGTTTGGCTAAACTGTCTTTACCTTCAAAGTAACTCTTAAGCTTAAAACTAAGAGGTTAGAGCCTATTTGCTATGTTTACTGTGATTGCCAAGTCATTAAGAGTCAGCTCTTTCCATAGGACAAAAATACATTAAATAAGTTAATAAAACCTTGTCCAGTATTAATTGGATTTGCAGTCCCTATAGAGAGAAATATTTTGGACTTCAAATTCTCATAGAACACTCCACACTTCCTCTAGCAAAGAGGAGCATGGTTGCAGTCTCTCCTTAAGAGTCACAGATTGTTATTGTCCAATGGCAAACTTTTCAATTTATGTGTAGATTCACTACCTCAAAGGTGTCTCCAGTTAGAAAACATTAACCATTTTTCAAAACAACTCTGGAGTAATTGCTTGCCCAAGCGAATTCACTAGTTTTAATAAATGTAATAAGTATGAACCTACAATAGTTGCATAAAATCCTTTCAAACGTGATACATTTAACAAGAGAAAGAGATGATTACTCATACCTAGATCTAACATATTACTAGATGAAATAAAGGAGAGGAGAAATCTTAAGTTGTGGAGGCATAAATACCCCTCTTAACCTTACTGTTTCAATCTAAAACAAAATATTAGGCAGGTATTTCAAAGATTTCCAGGATAAAAATAAATTGTTTATGTTATAAGGGGATGTGACATTTCTGGGGGGAAAAGGGCAACAGATTCAGAAGACACAGGTCATCAAAATGTAACTTTAATCCTCTTTTTTTTTACTAATAATTAGATTTGAATTTCAAATTAATGATGGATTTATATAAAACGTGTAAAAAAGGATGTTTACATATTAATTGAAAG